ACGTATAAACACGGTTTGAGCGTGCTCCTTGAGACGATGCGTGCTGGCTACTGAAACTGTGGAAAGTGAAAAGCTATTTGCCATTACAATATGGCGCTTATTCATAATGGGGGCTTTGTTTGCTTTATTGGGGCTGGGATATTAATTCTGACAGTTGACAATTTATAATTTGTTTATTTTTCATTTCATTGCGGTACGAGTTATTCATAGCTATTAAGAAATTTAAGAACGAATAGCAAATATAGATATCAACAATACCACCGTTTCTTTCTACAGATGAAAAGGCTGATTTCAGTCTGAGGATTTCCGAAGCGAAAATTGTTATGTGGCTGGGCTAAATTACGTTCTATCTAGTGTATTTAGTGAACCTCGGTCCGTCTGTCTTTCTCTATTTTGCTAATCAAGATGTTTTCTCACCTTACTAGCGATAATCATTTGAAATCATTGAACGAACTAATATATTTTTTTATTCGGCTCGTGTATTGAAGAGTTTTCATAATAATTACGTAGATTTGATTTCAACTCTCTATTATAATATTATAGTTAGTAGACCGTAGGTATAACAATATTTAAATTGTATTATTTCCATACAATAACGCTTATATATATAAATAGTATTTTTAGAAAAAAAACCAGTGCAAAAATAATCTACGCCAAACAGTTTCGTATCTTTTCTCTACAAATTAGCCTAACTATACACTTTGCGGGAGTATTACGCATTTGAATAAAACTTTTTAACGGTTTAAAAAGCGAAATCTATTAATTAAACTTATTTGAAAATTATTTTAACTACGGCCCACGTGTCCATGTGCCGTCGGGAGCCATGGTCACGGGAAGAGGGACGTAAAAATATCAGGCAAAAGGTAAAATGAGTGTAATGCTTATATATTTCGCGTTTTAAACAGTTAAATTGTTTTATTTATATTTACTGTTCCGTCAAATCTTCGATCTATTAACCGGAACTGCAATAAGATTTGGAATTTCAATTATTGAATGGTATCGAATAAATCGGTCGTAAGTTCGAATCCCAGTGCAAGATAAGATCAACTTTCTTTACATTAATTAATGAACGTACTGAAGCGGGGTCTATTGGTTAATGATGTGGGGGTATGAGGAAACAGTGGCAATCCGTGGTCGTTAGAACTGTCACGTGACTTAACACCAGGGGCGAGCCACTCATCGCTCATAGTTAGTGAGTCTCTAGGGCTGTCAGAGTCAGGAAAAGGCACAATTTTTATCTCGCCCCCGCAAAAGAGTTGCCATCGCGAATTTGTCACTGGCTTATTTGGGGGAAAAGTGCTATGTTTAGCCGAGCAATGATAGATATTAATGATGCGCTTGGAAACATCGAGAGTCCTCATTTTTCACAATCAGTGGCGTTTTGCTTGCCGTTACTGGGGTTGTATTTTTAAAGTTAAAAACGTTAATTAACACGAAATTCAATGGTGTTTGAAGCGCCAGAATGAAGGTAGCAGGGAAACGCTGGATTCAACTAGCGAATGACCGGTCGTACTGGAAGTCTATGGGGGAGGCCTATGTTCAGCAGTGGTCACTGAACGGTTGAATCGAAGCGCCAGAGGGTTTGGATTCGAATCTAGGGGTAAACTAAGTTTATTTCAAAGATAGCAAAGAATTCTGATATTTTACTTGCCTGTAAATGAAATTACTTACCGATATTATTTGTATAAAACTTATTAACAAATACGATTAGCTTCCCTAGACAACATCCTTACCACCTGTATTTTACGCGAGTAGAACACAATTATATAAAGCCCTCTTAAATGGTTTCAAACGCGAATCGTACTACTTTAATAAATTTTAATTTAGACCGTGGTAATGTTAATAATAAATAAAACATGATTAAGTAATAAATCTCGCGTTTAAAAGCGTTGTATATGTTTTAATTACATGGTTATCACCAGAGACAAGGATTATCTAAGAATCAAATAAAATATTGTTCTAGTGTTGTTCATTCAGAACTAATTATATTGTTCCTTAATTACAGTTTATCTACCTAATGACAACAAATTATTCTGTTCGCGAAATAATATTAATTAGACTAGTTTAATAGATAATTAATCTAGACTTGTCTATAGTGCTAATTGTATTTTAAACCAACTGTATAGTTGCTAGTTGCTACTTGGCAAACGCAACAGTGGTTATAACCGCCTCTGCATCTAACGTTTTGCCTACCACCGCAATAAGACGACAGGTCCTAGGTTTGAATCGTGGCAAAATGTTACGGTCGGGTAGGGCACAAAGGTATGATCAGTCAAACGGATACAAAATGTTGTTCATACACACTTATAAAGACAGATAGGTACTGTCTGTAGTTTACGCGACTAGTATGTACACATTTAAATATTTTTTTCTAAGTTTCGCCTAATACCAACTGCGACTGTTTTTTACTTTGACGTCAAAGACAACCTACATCTTTATTCCTCCCTTGACAGCATCCGAAACGTTGGGCGTTGTTAAAATAATTTTCAAATAAGTTTAACTAACATATCGCGTTTTATAGAACACTTTAACGGTTTAAAACGCGATATATTATGCCGACGTTTCGGTGCTTTTCAGCAGCCGTGGTCAGTTTTATTTAAATGTGTACTACACGCGTAAACTATAGACAGTATTTAATTTATCGCGTTTTAAACCGTTAAAGTGTTTCATTTGCGTACCTATATTATACAAAATTTGCGATAATGCCTTTTAAAAGAAAAATCACTTTTATCCGTCTTCTCTCGTTTACATTAAATCGAAACACAAGTACACACGACACAGAGTAATGTCGTACAGAGTCCCCTAGGCAATGAATGGCCAGTTCAAAATATACTTAGCTCGGCGGAAATTGACAAATTAATTCGAACCACCCATGCATCCGGTCCGTTTTGCGCAGTACAAACAAGAATTTCATTATCTATATTATTATGGGGGATTATTTAATTGCGCAAGCGATTGAATATGCGTATGATACGATGTGTGAAGATAAAAAACAAACGTCGGAGGAATGAAAGACGAGACAGTCCTCGGGTTAATTAATTTTCGCTTAAACGTTACTTTTATTTCATTATATTGGCGCCAGAGTGTTTGTCAAAGAAGTGTCCAGTTCTATATATCAGAAAGGTGTTTAAAATAAAGGTGTAAAGGAGATTTCAGTTTTACTAGAAGAATATCTTTCTCTGTTATACATACAATAAGTACGAATATATTTATATACTTAGATAACTGCACAATTACGTTTATAGCTCGGTACTCGGACTCGGTAGCTCAATTGGTAGAGCAACAGCACGGAACGCTGACGATGCCGGTTCAAGTCCTGCCCGAGTCGAAATTTTTTTCAATTTATTTTGTTTTTTTTTTAAATTACATTTATTTCATTTGTTATAGATTAAAATTGATTATACATATTTTTATCAAAGATTGCAAACATAATTTTTAATTTGCGTTGAACGCAGTATACGCAAACACTACCTTCGGTAGTTTACGTGAGTAGTACACATTGAAATAAAACACCTTTAACGGTTTAAAACGCGAATTGTATTTGTTAACTTATTTAGAATGTATTTTAACGACGATCCAACGTTGACTACTAAAGATGGTATCCCTAACGTCAGTCAAATCTGACACAGTAGCGCCATCTGTTTCTTCGCAGTTGGTATTTTAAGAAATTAGCGTGAATCACTCCTTACAGGAGTGATTCACGGTGTCCTCTCGTTTCGGGGTATGCCGTTATATATATTGCACATATTGCAATACATTTTTAAACCGTTAAAAGTGTTTTATTGCAATACGCAAATGTGAAATGAAAAATACCAATAATTGCATGCTGTAATTCTTCTAGCACAGCCTCAGGTGCCCCAACTATACGAAAACATTGACACGGACGCGGCGTGAAAAGAAACGCCATCTCCCCCGACACCTTCCCCAACTTCCCCAGCTTCCCCTCGTAGGGGACAAATAAGCTTCCCCAGCTATCACGACGCAAACACCACTCCATATGTATCCTAATACTTTTCATTTTATTATCGCAGATAGACAAGGGCTGAGCTCCCGAGGCGAACCATTCACACTTTTAATTTAGTTGCTTGTAATGTATGCGAATAACTTCGAGACCCTCAAACTATGAGACGGGAGGGTGCGTTAGGCTTAATAGTTTCCCCTTCCATACATTATGCAAATACGTTAGTGATATGTCAGCCTCTTGGGAGTTTTGTTCGTGTGTTTATTCCCTTTTATTTAAGTTAACTTTAATTAAATTCGCGTATTTGTTAGGCCGATTGGCTGAGTGGATTTGTGCGTTGTGATTTATCTTGGGTTACACGCGTCGTCGGTTCCGTGGACGTGTTATTATGTTGAGTGGCGATCTCTTGAAAGGATACCGTTCAGATAAGGGCGTTTATCTTGCTGAAATGACGTTTGGATGATTCGTATTGATGTGTTCAATTGTTTTGTGGGCGTGAGTTGTAAGGCTTTCGCGGGCGTTGTACAGATAAGGCTTTTAGGCATCACAAGGGGATGATATCACCGGAAGATGGAGCCTTCTTATTCATTATGTTGTGTACAGTTTTAAAATCGAATAGTTTTATTTTATGTGTGTATAAAGATGATATTAAACACTCTCATACCAAAAGCACACGAATAACATTTGTCTTTTAGTTTTCCTTGAAAACGTACAGAATCATCTCGTCTTTTAACCTACTAATGTCTAAACTATAAGTAGTTAATCAAGTTAACCATAAATTAACGAATATATTTAACGTTTTAAACCGTTAAAAGTAGTACATTGATTTGTACTATTTGCATAATTAGCTAAAGCAAACATATACCTTATATAAGTATATAAGTACCTTAATTAGTAAGGTATTTATAAAACCATCGTCAATAACATATCTTTCGTATTTGAAACCGCTGAATTGAGCTGTATCGCCTTTAAGCATAACCATAGTAAAATGAAGTTCTTACCCTCAATCCGAATGTAACCCTTAATCTACTGTTTCCAGAGTAACCCCTACGCGCTGAAGGAAGGTGGCGGCGAAATGTCTGCGTGGACATCAGCGGGCCTCCAACCCTCCAGCGGCTACTATCCATACGACCCTACATTAGCCGCCTACGGGTAAGTCCCAGGGGTCCAAAAGAAAGGCCCAACGCCCGCGCCACTTTAGATAAAGCTAGCGCAGCGAAGATTAACATAACCCGGCCCTTACTCTATCTCGTTAGAGGCATTGCGAATGGCTCATATTGAATTAACACTATCTTGCGTACGTGCACATCTCCCCCCCCCCCCCCAAATCGCCGTTGAGTCACAATACTTCAACTGATACTAGATCTGAAAACTTTAATATTTTTCACATGTTATTGCATATGATGGCACTATATAAATTAAAAATCAATTATAAATTGAAAAAACAATTACGGCTCGGTCAGGACTTGAACCGGCATCGTCAGCGTTCCGTGCTGTTGCCAAACCAATCGAGTTGTTAAGGTTGAAATTACATTGCACCAAAGGTTGAAAAAACTCGTCGATGACGTGTAGGACTCGGTAGCTCAATTGTTTAGAGCAACAGCACGGAACGCTGTCGAAGCCGGATCAAGTCCTGACCGAGCCGTAATTGTTTTTTCAATTTGTAATTGATATTTAATTGCTACTAGATCTATTCACTAATTACCGCGTTCATACCTCAATTGATTGATGAGGTGATATAAAATAATGGGCGGTCACAGTAAAAAGTATTCGTTCGGCCGCAACAGATTGTACGAACATTCCAGTAAAAACTGCAGCCTCTTAATAATAAATTAAAAGTCCACTCCATTTAGGGACCTACGCTTTTCCACATCGAGTGAAGTGCCTGTAACACTCACTGTACGATTTTTTAGCCAGGATATAATAAATTGTTGTGTTGCGTCGACGTCGGTCCGTTTTTCTAGCAGTGGGTAATTAAAAACCTGAATGGTATTGTAAGAGATCTTGTAAGCTTTGTGGTACCGATCTGTGTGGTCGATGGCTATAAAATGCAGTTTATTACGGGAAGGCGAGTTTTTATCTCTTCGGTGCGATAGGGAGTACTAATAAAGTGGTCTGTTTTAACATTGAAATTACGCTAGGCCGGTGTAAGTCTTTTCGGAAACTCGCTCGGGCCGATTGAACGAATGGCCAGCCACTCCCGGCTTTCGCTGTCTCATTTGGACAAGCGGCCACCCCGTAGTGTGACAGAGATGGATGACGCCATATCCATTCGCCGGGGTTTTGATTAATTCACGGTTTTTTTTTTCATCGGAAATTCGGCGCGTTGCGTCCGCGTTTTTCGCAACCGTCACGATCTGAAATATCTCTAAACGCGTAAGTAAATAACGTTATAAAAGATCGGAATACTATTGACATAAAATTATATTTTTAAAAGTCGGTAATCGTTCAATACTTTAGTGAAATTATCGCGTCGTCACAACAACAGTTCGTAGGCGCTGTACTGCACTTGAAAATTTATCCGCCCATGAATCAGGGCGGCTGAAAATAAAAACAAATCGTGGTACATCAAAGCGAAGTTATGCCGACAATTCGGCTGCGCTCGACTTAATATATGGCAGACGGTGCGTTATAATCTAAAAATAATTAGGAGCGACATTAGTTTTTATGCGTAAAAAAGAAGTCCGTCGGAATGGGAGCACGGAAATACATCGTAATATATCATGGCTCGCACAATAGCTTACATTTGATGTGCGCGTCATTATTTCAAGAGTAGCGACTCTTAAAGCGCAGTTAACGCTGGATTATGAATCTCGAGAACCTTGTAGATGAATTCGTGTCGCAAAAAGTGTGTCGACCGTTGGCGCTTAGTCGAGCACCGTTAGCGCGTTTTTCGGAGCGGCCTGTAATCTGCCACGCCCGCGGAGCGCAGCGGCAAAATGAAAAATCACTCGGCTATTTTTAACACAATTCCCGCGCACAGAAAACGTACAAAAATTAGAGGAAAGAGCCGAGGGAGCACTTGTACCGCACCATTGAGATCAAAATACGCAGGAAATTACGTTGCCCGAGGCTCCCGACGCTTCGAGGGAATTATTTGTATGCCAACGATTTGGGCTGTTACATTTTAAATAAACCGTATAAGGAACGCTCGTTAGCGATGCTCGACTTAAATGTCGCATTTTGCGTCGTACTCGAACGCGGTTGGTCTATATATTTACGTCTAACACAATCTATAGACCGACCGCCGTTACTAAAAAATTACTAAAGGCATAAGAAAAATATCTTTCAAATCTATAGACCAACCGTCGTTACTAAAAACGAACGGCATTTTGTTATACATTTCACTGTGAAGAAACGACAAGAAACACGGAAGTTACTCCTTTAACAAGGATCAATAATATCCCGTCATGCTACAGAAGTTGCTCTACGCGTGTCGAACTAATACATAAGCTGTGTTATACTTCGTAAACCCTTTACATGTTTATTAAAAATCGAATTTGTACCATTAAGCAGTAGATAATATTTGATTAAAACGATATTTGCACTAACGTATACTTTTCACTTAATAATTACTTCTAACGGTTCTAATAATATATTTCAATATTTCGTAACTACACTTCTTACTGTAAAAATTAAATGAATATTCAAGTTTGAATAGTTAATAACATTTTATCTCAAGTTAAAGAATTACGAAAACAAAACACTTTACCTACAAGACTCTTATGCAATAACTCAACACAATAATATGCGTAAAACTTATTCTACGTAAAAATCTATTTAGATTGAAAAGAAATTACGACAGACGGGACTTGAACCGGTACACAGCGTTCGCTCCAGCTCTAACTAATTCAGCTCACTAATATCTATAAACATTTCAAAACTAAAACGTACCAAAAACGGTACGCTACGGTACGGCTGTAAGATTTTTTTGTCGTACAACGGATTCTGCCTTATTAAGACTATTTATAAATAATTTCGTCCATACCGGGCAGACGTATTTACGATAACCGCGCCGTAATTAAGACACATTAAAACCGAGTAACGTAATAAATTCGATGTACGTGCAATGAATCTGCGTACGCGGTTCTATTTCTAATTAACGCGTGAAAAAAACTCCACGCGTATACAAGGAAAGCCGATGTCCCCCGGAGGTGGGGGGTGAAGGTGGGTATGTACCCTGGTACATAGGGAGGGCATATTCCCCCAAGCGGGCAGATTGTACAGGCGATACCGCGTATTCAATGCGCACCTCGGTGTATAACAGCGCCTCCGCTAACCGCCCGCCCGCAAACGCTTTCCAATACATCACCCTGAAACATGGCTCAACATTATTATATCGCTATATTTTATTTCGCTACTGTTCCATGTTTGTACTGCGCTCGTGAATTACGTCTCGAACCGAACGGGCGGGATCATTCGTTTATCTACGACTATAAGACTTATATATGCACAAGATAAATTATATAAAACTCATACATGAATCTCCAAATACTGTCTGCAGTTTTGCGAGTAGTACAGAATGAAATAGAACATTATTTAACGATTTAAAACGCGAAATATATTAGCTGAACTTATTTACAAATTACTTTACCTACCACGGCTGCGGCGATGCATCTGAAACGTCGGGCCGTAGTTATTTAATTTGTAAATAAGTATAGTTCATAAATTCCGCGTTTTCAGCCGTTTAAACATGTTTTATTTAAAGGAGTCTATAAATTATAAAATTCGCAAATCAACGAGAAAAGTAACGATTTAAAAAGAGAATAAGTCTGAGTTTCAATATTAATATAGACTTTTAAATTCGGAGTTCGAATATAGACACAGGGCGAGTAAATGGAGTGTCTGAATTAATTACGCAACTTTCAACTCTGAAAGCGCTGAAAGTAGCTGTAATTCTTAACCGTATCTGACGTTGGAAGCCCTCTACTTTTCTTTTCATCGCTTACTTCGCTAACAATGAAGTGTTCTGAAGAGCTTATTCGTGTAAAACTAATGTGGTTTGCTTTCAAAGGCTTTGTGTGGATTCTACTTTGACAATAGCATTTATTTGTTTCCACTCTCGCAATGGCTTAAAAATCGTTTCGTTTTCGATTCTTGATTAACACCGGAACACTTTTACTTCGTGGTTTGTTTGTCTTTTAAACGGTTAAGTAACGATAAATATTAAATACGCTTAACTAAAATTATTTTTCGTTTTCTCGCGACGATACGCAATGTTACACTTAGCTCAACACGTTTCAAATCAACAAAACCAAGGAATGTCTATAACCAAATACGTCTAGTTTTCTCAAAATAATCTTTATTTTTTGGTCTTGTGTCCTGTTCCTATAGCATTTTTTAAATAAAACATTTTAATACGCGAAATATATGAGATAAACTTATTTGAAAATTAATTTAACTACGGCTCGACGTTTCGGATGCTTTGCAGCAGCCGTGGTCACGGGGAGACGGGACGAGTCGCGTTTTGAACCGGTAAATTGTTTTTAAATATGTACTACTTGCATAAACTATATACAGGATTTTATAGAGCATTTTTAATCTCCTATATATATCTATGAATAATCTAGGAAATAAGAATTATTTGCGTGTTAAATATCGAACAGAAGTGTTTAGTATTGGTATATGGTTCTTTTAACCTCATTCTAATCGTAGAGGTGAAAACGCCTTTGTGAAGCGGCTGTCGCATTTGATCTCAAATCAAAGCGATGTACCTGTGTCCGGTTCGCAAGATGGCTTCTCGATCGATGCCAAGTGTGCACTAACGCCTACATTACAACCCACGCTTGCGCTGCACCGCCCCGCTGCACTAAAGTGCAATAAGTACACGCCTTCAAACAACCTTCGACACGTGTCGAAGAAGCCAAATAAAACCTCAACCCTGCGGACGGATGAGATTTCAATACGTAATTCGCGTCACGTAGCTACATTCGAGAATCTTCGACAGCCAGCCTTCGTAACACCGCACACGGTAACAAATTGTGTGCGCGCACACGGGGGACTATTTTTTAACTATTCCCGCTCGCTATTCATCACCCCCCGGACTCGCCTTTGTCGTGTTGGAGGAATCGTAGGTACGAGTTAGGGATCGGAAATCCACCCGAAATTACGTTCGAAATTCAGATGCAAATGCGATCACTCCTGACGCCGCTTCCGTTTTATTCTTGCGGCGTATCTATTACTTCGAAATGCCTACCTCGCTGTATTTCGGGATACATCTAACTGGAAATCGTTCAGCGGGAATGCATAATCGATGTTATGTGAACTGTTTTACCTAATACGTAACAATAGCCTTATTTGTAACCGGTTAGCTGTGATCGCGTCGGAGCTAAAGCCTACGCTACACTATCGAGGTTTTTAAGCACATTATTAGAACTAATATTGTGATCGTATCTAAGTATCGTTTGAATGTGACACAATGAGCTTTCGTGTAGCGACTGCAAAGGCCAGAAGCGTTTTAGTCTTTAGGTATATGGATAAATTTCTGTTTGTTAACAGATATGGCGCTGGTTACGATTTAGCAGCGCGACGGAAGAACGCGACGCGGGAGTCCACAGCTACCCTCAAAGCGTGGCTGAACGAACACAAGAAGAACCCCTATCCGACGAAGGGCGAGAAGATAATGCTAGCAATCATAACCAAAATGACACTGACGCAAGTGTCGACGTGGTTTGCAAACGCGAGGAGGCGGCTCAAGAAAGAGAACAAAATGACATGGGAGCCGAAGAACAAGACGGACGACGACGACGACGCGATGCTCTCGGACGAGGAGAAGGAGCAGGATGACAAAATTAAAAATAACAAAGGTTCGTTGAGTTGCATCGTGTACAACGCCCTGTAGTCAACGCGGTCGTACGTTGACTATCGGATGTTGCAAGCCCACATTTCCCCCAATAAATTATCGATGTGCACCGCGAATTGTCACCATCCGATTATTTCACATGCGTACTGCGAATGTAAATTGAATCAATTGCTACTAATTTACTTTTACAGAATGCGTGGACCGCGTACGTTTATCGTTTTCAGAGTGTTTTAATTTTGTCGTTGAATAAATAGCTGAAATGAGCACGAGGGTAGGAGACGCCGTGGCGGGGCGTGCGGCGAGGGGGGGGACGGGGGGGGGGGACGGGTCTCAGGCGTGTAACTGAGCGTAACCGCTGCTCGCTCCCGGATTTCCTATTTGTAGTAAAGTGGGCGGGTCCCTCACCCGAATTTCATATAAACCTCTAGGTAGCTACGCTGAAATTCGGAGGTCCCGTTCGGTACTGACGATCTGCCCTACTTCATGTTCTTGCCAAGGGATTTGTCGACTTCGTGGATCGTTTCTTTTATGAGGACATTCCGTTGAACGTAAGTAAGTACGCTTTAGGGTATTTATAACGTTTGCCGATCGCGCATAGGCCGATTTCACGCTACGGTTATTAGTGCGGTACGTAGTACGAAGCGCGTGTTGGGAACGTTGCGGATTATGTTGGACATAAAATTCAGACGCGGCGTGAGTGCTTTTAGTCGCGGTTGTCAACGACATAAATTATAAGTGTTCATTGTTGCAGCCGAGATGGTTTCGGGCGATGAGTGTTTTGCTTGTCGTCGAGGGGGTCACGTCTAACGCGTGCCATACGTCGCCTAATGAACCCAGCTATTGTTATAAAGAAGTGCACTCACGCCGCAATGGATACCGTTCAAGGGTCGCTAATCAACGAAGGAGTAAATAACATTTTACACCGCAATTAATATAAAACAAAACTATGCCGTAAATTAATTACGGCGTGTTGAATATTTTTATTAGAAAAAGCGCATTAAACAAATTACCATACGTTTAAGAAGACCGAGCAGGAAGTTGGGAACGCGGATAAAAGCCTACGAGTGTTATGTTAATTTAATTATTTATAAATCTTAATTAGATGCAGCTAAACAACGTGTTTAAATAAACTTAGATCTCTATCGTTATTTCTATAGCGTTATGGAAATCTTTGGAATCGTAAAATATTTTAAGTGGTCGCAGTCAAATCACTGAGATTATCGAATACGCATTGCTATCTTAATGAATAAATATTGATATAGGATCTTTCCTGTTTACTATTATCACTTTTCGTATTCAAGTTTATAGTGTCATACAAATGGGCAAGTCGCCTCTCCGGAGACGAACTCAAGAACCACTTGGAGTCTCAAATGTAGATTGGTTTGAAAGTCCTACACCATTTAATTTTAGTGACGATAACTAAAGGCTTACTAACTCTACGAACAAGACATTATCATATAAAAAATCCAAATACCAAAACAATCCGTTTGCCCAAACAAGATTCAACCAGGGGCTTTAGACAATAGAAGAAAATCTCATTTTAATAAGTTAAAAACTCAAACGCTTTTAATTTTATCAAATTTGGAGGTCTGGTATGGGCCAAACCTTATCCAAATTTCGCTATGTCAATAGAAAATGTACAATCACTATAGATAAAAATGTGTCAATCAAAGACAGGTGTGAATCTGAAATGACAAATACGTTGGTCTAGATTAAAATATATTTTATGTATTGTCTTTAACTTACGCGAGTAGTAAACACTTAAATGAAACACTTTTAACGGTATAAAATGAAATTTACGTAACTCCCCGTGACCATGCCTCCGAAATGTCGGGCTGTAGTTAAATAAATTGTAAATGAGTTAATTTTAGCCGTTAAAAGTGTTTTTTTTTTATTATTTTTACATTGTTACGTTTATGTTTACATTCCATTACAGTACATAACTTGCTCAAAAAGGATATAAAATAGTATTTTTCTATATTTTTCTAAATAAATTAAAGAAAAATATTTATTTTAATTCCAAAGCCGAATATTCGGTATGCCTGTAGTGATATACAACATTGTTAGGTCCCCTTTGCAAAAAGAAGCGAAATGTCATAATGGCACCGGGATTACAGGCACGTGACCTCAAAACAACTTCCGCGCTTAGTTCACCCATTATAATTGTATATTACACATTGAATGTGTTGTTCTTTAATTAATGTGAACAAAGCCGCGGGTGATAGCTTAATATTAAAGCTAGCAACGAGTACGAAATGTCACTTATTGTAGAAACGAATATGTTTTTCAAGACATCAACGTAAAAACAAATTTGCGTACTAAATATATAACACAGATTATTAATTATTTAAGTTTTATCAACTAATAAAAAAATGTAAAGTCCTAAAAAAAAGTATTTCTTAAAAGTTACAGTTAATTTTACAACGTTTTTGTACCAACCGTGAGTGGAGAATTTAAAACAATATTAAAAGCTTTATGTTTGAGTTTTAGATTTGCTAGTTTAAGTAGATTTCGAAACATGATATAAAGTATTGTGTAGTAACGCTTCTCTTATCGATATCTCAACCTAAGCTGAAAAAGACTAGTGACGATGATCACTTTAAAATTTCAAAAACGAAATTGTGGCTTATAAAGCTTCAAATTTCACAGATGAAAATCAACAAAGCCGAATAAACACACGACGAAACGCCAACAAGGTCCGATCAAAAGGTGACAGCACAATATTGCAAATTCAATAAGCGCGTTGTCCAAACACGGCGCGACATAATCCACTAATCCTAATCCCGTCATCTCAGCGCGATTCCCAGCCTAACCAAACAAACCATAAGCGACACGCATAACGCTGTACTCCGCTGAAACGTCAATGTTCGCGACAAGTAATATATCATTTTAAGTCGTCAAACAAAGGAAGTATGAAAGCTTTCACACGCGTACCCCAGCGACGTCGGCAAACAAACGTCGCAACTATCCGGAGCTAAGCCACTCATGAATAAAAGCATTCGGACCCCAGCGATAAATGTTAATTTTTGTCGTAAGTCCACGCATCGCAAACAAAATGTTAATCTCGCGTGGTGATGGAGAACGAGAACAGAGGTACAAACAAGTGTCAGCGGCCGACGTTCGAGATGTAATAAATTGCAGCGTCCTCGGCTAAAGTGCACTGTGGTGTAGGGAGGGTGGGGGCTCACCCCCCGAGACGAGTTTTTATTATGTCTCACTACGCCCCTGGTCCCAGTGACTAAAGGGAAAAACCACTCTGCGCTCCGATTTTCACGTCAGCCCGCGGCGCTCGCCGGGATAAATCTATCGTTTGCATATTCGTGTTGGGGGACTTTTGTTTGCGTTTTGTTGATAACGTTTCAATCTATTGCAGACGTTATGCCGTAATTGATATGTTTTTAAACACGATCGCGTAATTAATTTCGACGGCCTCGTTTGTCTAATGGTAGCAATGTATGGCTTATAATCAACGGGTAGGGCATTCGATCCCCACCGGGTTCAACATATTTCAAATTTTTCAAAAATTTAAATTTGTCCGGGTCACGAACCACTGTCCATAGATGATGGCGTTTCGATTTCAGTCTGTGGATTTCCGAATATACACAGCCAAAATAGGACGACAGCGCATCTTGTTTAGATTCGATAGGCTGGGATATATCATCTACCTGCTTGTACCTCCTCTATCATTAAAAAAAATGAATTTAAAAAGAATTAACGTATCGCCATCAGTTTTGATGCAAATACACACACAGTGTTGCATATAGCAATGTGTATCCCTTCTTAAACTTGCCTTTTATCTGTAATTGCTATTTTTTATTTTATTTTTATATATTAGATCAAACCATATTAATTATGATGTCTTATTCGTTTAAAAAATGGTTACGTAGTTATTTTAAAGAAACAAATGAAAAACGCGTTAATCGATCCGCAATAACAATTGAGTTAGCCAGCCAATCGCCATAATGTAACAGAGAAACCGTATTGAACATAACAAAATAATCAAATTACCTCTTATCTCTCAGCGTTGTGGGTCCCTATTAGATTAATACAATGAAAATTAAAACAATTTGCCGGATAAATATCTTCGCGCGAAGTATCACTCGCGTCCCTTTATCCCGGTGAAGGGCAACAAGGATAACCCCTCTTAAAAGCTACGAGCAGTCAGCATTAAATGGAATAAAGCGAATGAAGTTGAGCGGTCGACCTCCCCCTCCCCCCCCTCCCCCCGCACGGGGCTCTGAATTTCATTAGACACCCTGAGCCCTTCACGCCCCAAAAGCCACTTTACAACGGCAAATGGTATTATGATAATACTTAGGGCTTTATAAAATTTTACCGAATTTCAGCTTAATTGTGAAACGTATTCGATGGTGGTGTAAAATTTGCTTCATTTTCGTGTTATTGCGACTTTTACGCAGACCCTTTTCGTAAGGTTTACGGGTCCTTTTAAAACACAAATAAATATTAATTTATCTTTTTCCAGACACGATATATAAAGGAAAAGCCTGCCTGATTTTCAGCTATTTTTATAATTGTTACTTTTAGCGGTCGATTTAATGTTAAACGTTAGTTATTTCAACTTTTTCGGTTATACACTTAGGCCTTATTTACATAGGACGCCTTACCCAATAGATACGCTTTCAGATAAATTGTATATTTATAAAAGGAACGAAATAGATTTTCGTTCCGGCCCGCTCCGAAGAATTAATGTAAATGCTCCGCAAAGGGCGAAATAGAGAGGACGAGAAGCGAGGTTGACCATTAATTGTGCGGCACATTCCGCGGAGTGCGACGCCGCGGGGCGAGTCGGGAAATGCGAAATAAATGCTCAGCTTAAATGCGAAAGGGATCAGGCAGGGGAGTTGCGCCCCAAAGTGGTATTTTCACTTCGCTAATCGGATAACCACTTAACGAATGGGTCACTGCACGACAAACGTATTTTCACACGACTTTCCCGAAGGGAGCAGACAATCTTACGAGCCAAAACTTACGTCCCCGGTGTACCGGTCACGTTGGAAACCTATTGATTCCGTAACAATACTTTAAGCTCTTTTTTATAGTTATGACGCTACGGCTATTGCGCGTAATCCGGTTGCACTCATGGGGATATGAACGTGAATTTGATTATCTTTCCAGATGAGGAGCGGAAGGACGATCTGCTGCAGGGCATGCACAATCAGCTGCTCGGGTACGGAATAAAGGAGGAGGCGAAGCGGGGAGCGTCCGAATGCGGGGTGCCGATCCCGGCTTCGAAGCCGAAGATTTGGTCGTTAGCGGATACGGCGGCTTGCAAGACACCTCCTCCTGCAGCTCAACCTTGGCCACAGCATGGGTACGGTCCTGAGCGACCTGCTCCTGCCGACGGTAGCTCGAATGGCTTCGCGCTCCCCGCAACGGCAGCCGCAAGCCCAGCGAGCGGGGCGTATGGCCGGTACGGCGGGTTTCCTGGACAATACAGCGGCCAGCACCCGTGTATACACCCAGCGGCGTTCCCAGACGTCCAAACAGATACACCGCCCCAAACACCTCCTAACATGAAGGTGCATAGCGTCGCCAATCCTCTTGGCAGCGGCGGGTCTGGTTACTGCTTCCCCCGGCACCAACAGTCGCCGCAGCGCGACCCCTACCACAATCCCCATCACGCCAACAACCACCAGCCTAACCAGCACCACAACGAGGGATCGGCTGCCTTCAAGCCATTTTACAAAAGGTGAATATTTATTACCATACTAGAAACTGCGTTCTTTGATGTAGTTCGACAGTAGGGCACAAAAGTCACGAATGTTTATTCGCGGTAATAACATGCAAGTTGAGACACAAATGCATGATTGTAGAGATAGGGAAAGACCATAAACAGAGTTGAGGTTTCGTAATGGAACTTGCGCCGGTGTCATGTTGGTAATTGAAAACAATGGAAGCGCGTCGAATGGAGGGGCAAAGGAAGATTGCAATCTTGTGTCATTTGTCAGTGTCAGCCTACGTGAGCGCCAGGCGAGCGCCTAACTGCCGAGTATTACCCGAAATTACGTCAAAAATATTATTTAATATTAAAGTTAAACGAAATTAATTTTATTTTAATTTACACCCGTAATTTTTTGACATGTTGGATGTTTCAATAAAATATGACAATCATATAACATCGGACATTTGGACGTGCGAACGGTGTTTTGTGACCTGAACGGAAATTAGATATTCCTACCACGCGAATATATATAAAAAAAGAAAATATAATATTTAGCTTGAAAATTTGTGAAAGGTTTGAAATGAGAAGCTTTTAGATTGACAAAAAATTCCTGTGCTGTAGGTACACACGTATATTATTAATAAAAAGCGGTCCTTGTTTTCGATTCAAGGTTTTCTTTTACACAAGGCTGAAAGTATTTATTAAATACTTGCTAGTAAATACAAGACACAGAAATGTGTCAGACACAGAAAAGTACCCATGCTTTATTTAGATGTCACGAGGTTTCATTTTTAAATCTGATGACATAGAGTCATTGTAAGTACAGAATAGTGTAAGTAGTTTATTAGAACTAGCAAACAGGATGCATTACTCAATAGGATCTTCTTATTTCCGTCTAGCCGCATTTCTCTAAGAGTCGTCAAAGGGTTTCCAAGAAAAAGGCCGCGGTATCTCGGTCTCATTACAATAAAATATCGTCGTCGACAGCACCCCACACGGTGGCGTCGCAAAGAATTCTGTTTTAGCCAAACGCTCACAAATTCACATCTATAACTTTTTGTATTATTTTGGTTTTCACGCCTTTTTGCCCAGCGAATTCTTTGACGCGAAAATAACTCCTTATCGCGGCATTCCTATAAAGGACTCGCAAAAAGAACGAAACGAAATCGACAGTTCTTGCTCGGCTTAAATATCACACCTCTGTTTTTATTTGCCTAAATAAGGTAGCTACCAAACCGACTTCGAAAATATTCTTTAAAATCCACAATCAATATTGGCAAGTATATTTAAGTGTAATTTATCAAGAAAAAGATTCCAAGTGTAATTTCCAATTGTAAGTTATTAATTAGATTCATCAGCTCAGAACTTATAACTATAGAAATGTTTCCTAACACTCAAATGTTCGTTAAAAAAAATATGTAATTTTTCTTTTGCATACACGTCACTTCACAGTAACATTGTTGTTTGTCACAAAATGTTGTCAGTTGTTTCTTACAGAACACATACATCATTGTTGACTTTTAGATGGTTTTTATTATTTCATCCACTGTCATATCCAAAATGATTTAATTTGATTTCATGTGTTTTTGGATTTAGGTATCGTTACAATAATTCTAACTACATATTTACACAATTTTTTTCTTTTGATGATTACGTAAATCGTTCAGCATAAACAACCGCTCGTTTTATTTACACAATACTTAAGTCTTATTACGTTTGTATAAATAATTCATGACCAACAAGAGTAGTAAAATCATCAATCCTTTGTAAACCGGCACACCTAGGCCTAATTCCATTCAGAACGACTCATTTGAATAATACTAAGGAATTGTTCTAAGGACAAAAAAACATATGTTAAATGTGTATTGTTAGTGGCTAACCACTCAGTGTCAACTACTGCAACCTTACACAGAGTAACAGTCATAATACGGATAGTTGCCATAAAAGTATTAAATTATAAATTTGCAAACAAAAATTATCAAGTTTTTGTCGAATAAACAGATGTATAGTTTTATGTACTTCATTGGCTTCAAAAAATTGCATCCGTTTTAAACAGAGACGATAAACTACAGACTGCCTATGTTATTTATTACATTTGCGCTCTTGTTGTAAAACACCACAACACATAAGATTAGACGGCGTATTGTTGTATATTTTCGTCACTTCCTTAAAGAGTTGCTGAATACAATTCCCGATGAGTACTCTGTGCTTCCGATAAGGCACCTTAAAACGCGTGGGCGAGAACTCAATGGGTCTCATTCACAACCGCTTTTTTCGTTCCTCTAATCTTTCCTCTTATCTCGATCCCGGGTCCTCGGTTTCATTCAGTCGCGAGTCCAGCTAACCTGTTCTTTATTTTTTTATCCAAAAAAGTTTGGATGACCGCGGGCGAGGTCGAATTTTATTTCTTTCACATTTTGGTTTTCCGGTCTGGTCGATTCGTTAATAAATTCTCAGATAATGAGACTGAACGTTTCGTCACCTCGGCTCGATTAGTTCTCGTTCTTTTCTTATTTCAGTCGTTATGTGTGAACTGGGCAGAGATAGAATCGGCTATCTTGTCTTTATTTTATTTATTTTTCGATAATTCTCTATTCTTTTTAATGGATGAATGGGATTTTGGAAATTCCGTCTCTGATGGCTTCGGAGTGCTATTGTTTGGTTTTAATCAATGCGGCGGCAGTCAAAATATTTTATATGCTTAAATTTAGGAATTCAAAAGTCATTTATTGCTTATGCTGAAGTCTTATCTCATGAGGTCCTAAGTCTCGAATCTCTGGGATACATAGGTATAGCTTCGTTTAGTTACCTACTTGCTAATATAATTCCAAACGGGACAGATTAATTATTTATAAAATCTAATAGCAAGATATAGGCCATGAATAAGCTACGAGACCTACCAAGCGTCTATGTTTTAGTAGCTTCACTATAAACGACTTAACTGTATTCTAAGGGGTTCACAAAATAATATCGACTATAGTATATACCCTTTTTTATTAGTATGTCTGTATCAAGTACTATAACATTATCTATATTATTGTTGCAGATAAAGCACGTGGAAGCTGGGCTACTGAGGGGCATCCCCGTCTAACATTAGAGGACAATTAACTTACAGTGGCACAGTGTTTCTATATTCAAAACTTCAAACGTAGAAACGACACTTTGCTATACACGAATTATGTAAAAAATAGTTTCGTATTTTTGTTTTTGTAGACTTATCAAAGTCATTCATACATCCTTTGTATATTTATTTTTTACACCCGGCCTAAAGTGTCGCCAGACGACAGTTGTTCTTAGGTGAAACTTATAAAAAAATCAACATTGCTCAGTATTTTTAATAGAATTAAGTACGGATGTAATGTTATCCAAATTATTTATAAAACGAAATCGAAAGGTCTTGTGAATCGTAACTAGCCATTGGATTAGATGAATATTGTATAATATAATTAGTGAAAGACAAAGAAATGTTCGTGACTTTATTCTATTTTCATTAGTTCTTCCATTTGATTTTGTATCGTATGTATTATAATTTAAGGTATAATTTACAATGTATCGTTAGCTCAGTTCTACATAAGAATGTAGACGCATTGTTTATTTGTTGATCACCCTTCGTAAGCAGCTGCTTTCGAAGCTTAATTGACAGTGATTTTTATAAGCGAGGGTGTTATAATTAGCAATGGTCGATAAAACTTGTTGTCTTTGTATATAAGTAAAAGTTATGTAGATTTTCTATTTTAGTTTTCACATCAAATGTACAAAATAATTAGTGCTTTTCCACTTTGATGCGATTTTTTCAAGTGCATCTGAACGAATTTTATAAATATTGTTAAAAGTATTATTAGAATACATGTATATAAATATATACTAAATATTTTATTATCAACACCAACAGCCCAGTTCGGTCAAAATATTATAAGTGTTCGAGCATAAGCATAGCTCACTTACACTAAACTGTACAGACAAGTTCAGAATTCACTAATGCAGCCAAAACAATAGATTCAAATGTAAAATGCATTTATCCAATAATAAAAGTCAGTGTTAATTCAACTATTTATACATTTAGTTAAGTAAACAGACTATAGTATCATTAGTTAATTTTTTAGTGCAATTTTATTTTACTACATTGATATATTGTAACTACACTCAATATCGCTTTTAAATTATTTATGACCAAAAGCCGAAAATTGTGTACTTTCTAATTAATTGTAATTGTAACTAATGTGGAGTCCATTTATAACATTGTACATAGCTAATCGTTTAAGTCAAAACCACTTTGACAAACAAATAGGACGTCCTATTTTGTAAGGAGGGTCACTGTTCACCGAAATTGTTTTTTATGGTTATTTAATATATTTATATTAAAAAAGTTTCTCATTACATACATTTTGTCAAATTATGTTCTGTCTCTATATCTGGAAATAGTACCTAGATTGCTATCTCTACTGTATTGTTAAACACTGTTATATGTTGTAAGATTCCAAATGGTATTTTTATAAGGAAATTTACAAATTCGAAATTTGAAAAAGGAATACATCGTTATTTATCTATTTGGTACACTCAATGAAATATAATAATAATCATAAAGTATATATAACATCTTTCGGCGACCGGAAGTTAGAGTAGCATAATATAGTTCGCGACGGTGTAGGGTGTGTGTACAAGTGAACCGTGACCCTAATGAAACGTTTAGATAGCATCGATGCAATATTTTGTTAGATATATAGTAAGCAGTCGTATACATCTGAATTCAAGTCTTGCAACACATAGGTCACATACGAAACTGAAATATTTTGAGGCTTGTAAAGAATATGAGACTCGGTTTATAAGATAATTGTGACCAAATCGAATACACTTTCTTAATATTAAATGTCCTATATAGATATATCTAAATAATGTACCTATTAATTATGATTAATATTATGTAACGATTGTAATTAAATCTTTATTTGAACTGTGTTTATTTTATTTTATTATCCTTAATTTTATTATTATAGAATTAATTATTTTCTGAATACTGACAAAATTTAAAGAACAAACACTACACTTTACTTTTAGATATTCCAATTACAATAGATAATGTCCAATACAATTTTACGATAATAATTTATAGTTTTACTTCTTTTGTATATTTTAACGGTTTAAAACACTAACTATATTAGACAATTATTGAAAGCGAGATGCTTAATTTCATTTAATATTCGAAAGTGAATATCGTTATATGATGTGTACGTGACTGTATTTTTATTTATTATTGTTCTGTCAAAGGTGCGTTCAAATAACTATGACGAAAATCGCAAGGAACCATAAAATAAGGGCGTAAGGCGAGAGAAGTTAAAAAATGCGAAAATAAATTCATGAAAAGGGTCGATAAAGAGTCGGTAAAAGTCGTCACTTGCAAGAGGGTGCCTCCCTTTTAACTCTTAACAATGCTTAAAGGCTAATAAAAGAACCACTTTTTTCAACTTTTAAGAGCCGCAATAGGTACGGACCCCACTGAATTAAGAGTTTAGTAAATTGGATTAATTAAAAAGGAGGCTTAATTAATGAACTCATTGGAAATCCTTCGCTTGAGATCGGAATGGGTTTCGCTTAGAGATTATGTCCTTGTTTATTATTCAAGATGTAATATTAAAGAAGCCAATATTGTTATCATAAAGAAATACAGTGATTTTCTACGGGCGCAAGTTCTTATGGAGATTATAAAAAACATACATTAAACGGGATAAACTTAGTTTTAGAGGTTTAAAAGGGCAGAGAAGTCTGTTCAAGTATTGCTTCTATATAAATTTCATCAGAGATGCAGGTAATAATCTGTTTTTCCATTTCATATGGCAAACAACATCCTCTCATCGTATTAATTTAAACAGCTTTTCACATTCCATTCTTTGTTTTATTTAGCTATATATAATTTCGGCATTTTCAAAACCACAATAGGTAGACAGTGCATCTTAATTGGATGTGGGCTGGGGAATTTTAGCTTCCATCAGATAAACCTCATGCTTGCCTATCCTCCTTTCTGTTATATAAATGTACCTAGGCAACGTATAACTTCTTTGTAAATAAAAGAGAAATCTCTTCTAAACAATTCGAGCACTGTTTCAATCTAACAGAGTTGGTGGACACAACGGTCTTTAAGAAGAGAAATATTTAACTTAGACTCACCAGCATCTACCGCCACTTATAAGTGATAAGTCTATGTAGTTTTCGTCCAGCTCCTGCATTGCGGTGGTCCAAGCGAAGGCCGGTGCCACGCTTGGAAGCACTGCACAACGTGGGTAAGTGTTAGTAATATGGCTCCGGGCCACAATACGTAATAATCATTTGAATAAAAAAGGTCTAACACCATAACGTGTTTTCCCATCTCATTAGCTTTAACCACGTGATGGAGTTCACTGAGGCATTTTCTTCCTGATGGTATTAAGAAGAAGAAAAGCAGTTGTGCTGTGGAAAGTGCGTTGTATGTGGAACCCTCTGGTAGTATCAGTCACAGACTCAAGTCGTCCATAACAACTAAACGAAGTGCACTAACCCTAGACCAACAAGGAAGTTGACATGATTGGAGCACAGTCCCAATCTAGCGAACGACGATCATAACTTGCAAAACACAACCGAAGATTTAGTTAATCAACTCACAAATAGCGTTTGTATGAGCAATAAAACCGCAAGTTCTCATAAAAATGCCATAAACATTGACAGCACAAATAGACTTCAATCCACGAGACCAATCAAATTGGGACCAATACGACTTTATTTTATAGCGCACCGTATAGAAGCATTGCACACGATTGCAGCAATAAAAATGTTTGCTGCTCATAATCCTAATTAAGTTACGCTATTTGACGAATTGTTTAATGGCTGTCATGCTGGTCTAGAGGTTAGCACAGACCAATTGAAATCATGAGGATAACATTCGAATTCTGACTGGGCGATGTGTTTTCTATGACACTTAAATAACGTACTGCTGTGTTGATGACAAATATACAGAATGTCCATGCAATCTAAAGAAAACCTTTGTACAATACACTAGTACGTTTAAAACAAAATAAATTTAATGATATCTAATGTTTTTAAACGGTCAAAATTAAAAATTCCTCTCATCTCAATAAAATCTTTCCTGCATTGGTTTCCTGAGAATTGTCACTCTTCAACAATTATTTATTTAATGAAGGTGCATCGCGTGAACGGTTCATGGTATATACGGGTTACGAGTGCACTCCACCAGATGGCGTCTTCGCGCTCGTTTGGGTAATCGCTGTGCTTCGTCACGAGTTCTGTGTCGCTTCGGAGGATTTTCATTTTATGCAAACGTACACTCACTGCTCAATAATACGTTGGAACGAATAATTATCCAAGAGGCTTTGTAAGCTATAACTAGCAAATTAAGAATTCAATTTAATAAGGAATTAAGAATTCTTTAAAAGTACATTGTAATGGGCAATAGGATATGCAAAACCGTTGATATGTTGCAACATTCTTAATTCAAATAAGGTTAATAAAACTTAGTAGGTACTCATTGACATTTATTTCTAAAGCTGTACATAAAATAGTTTCTACTATAAATAACCGGCCAAGTTAGTCTCACGTATAAAGGGTTCCGTACATGGTAAAATACAGTAGATAGAAATTTCTGTAACCTTTTTCTATTCATAAAGTAGATATTCAGTTTATTCAGTATTTTTATTTTTTTAACATTTCAAATGCTTACTTACCTTTTAAGGTTCAATTAATATCGGACAAAAAAAGCGCATCGTTTTAATATTAATTGTTATATAAACAAACGATATTTATAATTTGAAAAAAAATTAACCAAACGCGGTTTTTTTTTTGCGAAAATTAAGTAATGGAGTCCCGTTTTCAGACTTTACTACTTAACCCTGAAACAAGTTTTTCGAGGTATTATAACAGTATTTAGGATACCGTCATTAAAAATAGATACGAAATGAAGTAATAAGGATTATTTGGGGTTGATTATCCCGCCTCATCTTTGCGGTCTAACCAAAGGGTCAGCAGACTGTCCCTTCTAGTTACTTAAATAATAATTAGGTCTTGT